GGGACTATCTAAATCTTCAGGGGCAGGACATATAGGGTTTGGGTAGATTGATTTGAAGTGGACACTACATTTTTATTACATTCTTTTTGGCTTTGGCACAGAAGTGTTTTGAAATCATATAGGCTGATGAGGTTTGGTCATATTCCCTTGCTTACCCCAAAAACAGCTCACCTCAGTCTCGTACCTATACTCCAGATCTATCTGGAAAAGGAAAACGAACCCTTAGGGAGCCTGTGTGTCATGAACTCTTATGATCTCAGGACTGACCTGAAGGTGGAAAAACAGACCAAAATTCCCTTTCAGTGCTATAGCTAGCAAGGCTGCAGACGTCACTTGACCCCAGGAACAGGGCCAGCAGCTAGCTGAGCTAACCTCCTGTCTGTTTCCTCCTCTCTCAGGCGTATCAGTCACCTCCAGCAACACGGGCGTGCCAGATATCTCTGGATCTGTGTACTCCAAAACCCAGGTAGGTGCCCGGCTCTGGACAGAAGTAGAAAAAGAGAGAGACAGAGATGTGGTGGCTGAGGATCGAACCCAGTGCCTCACATGGGCGAGGCAGGTGCTCTTCCATTCAGCCCCAGCCCCAGCCCCCACCCTACCTTTTTTAAATGGTCTCTAGATTTCAGTTTTTCTAGGAGTTTGAATTTAGCTCTCTGAGAAGAAACCACAAAGATGAATAGGAAGCCAGGTGTGCTAAAAGGCCTGTAATCCCAGTGACTCAGAGCCTGAGGTAGAAGGATTGAGAGTTCAAAGCCAGCCTCAGCAACTTAGCAACTGAGTGAGACCCTGTCTCTAAATAAAATACAGAAAAGGGCTGGGGATGTGGCTCAGTGGTTAATTGCCCCTTAGTTCAATCCCTGGTACCAAAAAAAAAAAAAAAAAAAGAAATAGGAAGGTGAGGTGTGGTACATTGTTATAATGTGATGTGGGTTATTGTGCAGTTGTCCTGGCTTTTTTGCCCAGGGGCAGGGATGCCAAGGATAGTTAGCAAATTTTCCTGTTTATGTACAATGCTAGTTAATTTCACATTCATCCTTCTGTTTGATCCCTACAACAGAGAGGTCAGTAGCATCCCTGTTTCAAGTATGAGGCAACTAAGGCTGAGAGATTGGTATTTTCCCAGGATTGGGTAGCTGTTAAAAGGGCAAGAGTTGGGACTGAGACTTTTATATCTGACTCGAGATATTCTGTTCCTTCTGACTATGCTGTTTTCTGAGGGTGGGGGAGCTTTGGCTCAGAAATTCCCAGGATTCCTTTGCTGATACCTTTTATTCTTTCTCCTTCTTTCTTCCTGGACAGCAGTCCTTTGAGAAACAAGGTTTTCATTCCGGTACTCCTGCTGCCTCCTTCAACTTGCCTTCAGCCCTAGGAAGTGGGGGGCCCATCAATCCGGCCACAGCTGCTGCTTACCCACCTGCCCCCTTTATGCACATTCTGACCCCACATCAGCAGCCGCACTCCCAGATCCTTCACCATCACCTGCAGCAGGATGGCCAGGTAATAGCCCTTCTCCCTCTCTCCTTTCCCTTCCTCTTCCTTCCTGTCCCTTTAAACTGCCTCCCCTTTCCTTTTCTTACCCTTCCTCACCACCACCTTCACCCAATCCTCCCCAGCGCCAGCCAGGGGCACACAGCACATACAGACACAAGCGCACATAACACAAGCGGCCGGCAAAAGAAATGTCAGAGAAGGGGCAAGATCAAAACCCTTTTTGCCCATTTCCTTTGGTGTCTTTTTTTCTTCCACCTCCTCCCATGGCACAGTTGTCCTCATCCCATCAGACCTGGGTCACACCTTCCCTTTTACCTCTCCCAGCCTTTCCCCTTTCCTGACATTATAGCTTTCCCTTCTAATGGTGGAGTTCTATTGTCAAAGTTTGTCCCTTTATTTTCCATATATCCTGGTTCTGCCTCAGCTACCATATTTGCAGATGATTCTCTGTTGCCAGCGCCAGCAGGAGGAGCAGGTAATGAAACTGAATGATGATATGCTTGAACCCACTCCTTTTCAGACCCCATTTCACCTCCAAAGCCTCAGGGAACTTGAAAAGATTGCGCGGTCACACATCGGGATACACAAACACAAAACACCTTGCTGAGCTCTCTGGCCTCCCTATCCTCTGTTCTCCTTCCCTCCTCAATACCCTCTTGATCTTTCTGTCCTTCCCCAACTCTGGAAAAACACTTGGTTACCAGAATGAAAAAGATTGGTGGGGCAGAATCTGGAGCCTGAGGCTTCAGACTGTCTCTCCTTTCTTGCCTGAAACAGGCTCATAGATGTGATGTGTGGTGGTGGAGAGATCCACGGGGTGGTACAAGAGACCTCTTGAGAGCTCCATCATAGGTGGCTGGAGACCTAGAATTAAGGGGTTCCCTGCTCTCAGCTTTTCAAGTTGAGGCATTTATGGGACTTAATGAAAATGGAATTACCTTGTGGTCACTCATCTCCCAGAACCATAATTCTCATAGTACCCTTTTTTTTTCCAGACCCAGGTCAGGGGTAGTGAGAGAAGGTAGAATTCAAAATGAGTAGAACTGAGTTATTATCTCTAAGGTATCTTGTCCTCTTTTCACCTTTCCCCTATTTAAAGGTCAAAAATGCTTTCTTGCATGGAAGAGAGGGGGCTGTATTAGCTATGGAGACCAAATTTCTATGGTTGAAAAGTAAATGTCAATAGAATCTGAGCAAGGGGAACAGGAGAGTAAGGCAGTTTGCACATCTCCACCTGGACATGGTACAGATTTGTCCCACTAACTAGACACCTTTTTCCTCCCCATCATCCTCCCATTCCCCTGCAGACGGGCAGCGGGCAACGTAGCCAGACCAGCTCCATCCCGCAGAAGCCCCAGACCAACAAGTCTGCCTACAACAGCTACAGCTGGGGGGCCAACTGAGGCCCTGACCCTCCTCTCCCGGTCCTATCTTCTGAGAGGGCTTCTCAGCCTGGAAACTATGGAAACAGCATCAAAGAGAGAAAGGAATGTGGGGGGGTTCCGCTGCCCCCCACCCCCAGCGGCCCACCCCATGCCTCAGCTTCATGTCTGTCCCATTCCTATACCATCCCCACCCTGTTGTATGTATTATAGGATTTGTATTTTCTTTTTTTTTTTTTCTTTCCTTCCTTTCCTCTTCCTCCTCCTCCCTTGCATTCAAGATTATGAAACTTTGCTGTGGGCCCTGCCCTTCCTTCACTTCTTCCTGTTCACCCTGGTGGTATATGGGTGAAGTGGGGAGGTGGGACCCCCAAATATATATCAGCCCAACAGCCCTAAGTCTCCTCCTTTATTATTAGGAAAACAAAAACAACAACAACAAAAAAAATGGCGTCATGAATATGAACAGCATTGTCAGATGAATTAGTTGAAGTGGTTTTTTTTTTTTTTTTTTGGGTTTTTTTTTTTTTTTTTGTACTGTGTCCTCAAATTTAATGGATTAATGTGTCTTGTATATATAAAAAGAAAACCTCTACCTTCAGCCTCTGCCCATTCTTGCTCCGTCTAGGATATCCTCAGTCTCGTCGATGACCAGCTTGGTGAATAAGTATTACCGTACCAACTGGGCCTCCTCTTGCAGGCCTCGAAGGCAGTGGAATAAAATGAAATCTTTGCCCTTTAAGAACTACTCTGACCTTAATGTGCTAGTATCTTGCCCTGGAAGGAATTCCCTTCACCCCTAAGAATTTCACAACCTGAGCCTGGAAAGAGCCACTACAAATCTTCATTTCTTCCAGAAACTGCCACATCTTCAGCACATTTCAGACAGTGAAGGGAGAGGATAGAGATTGAATGGAAAGGGGGGAGGATGAAGAAGGAGCTGAGACAATTTCAAAGAAAGAAATGGCTTTATGGAGTCTTAAGTATGACAGATGGATCCGCAAATGAAGTTGGAAGCAACATCACTTTTGGCTGGCAAACCATTTCCCTGCTAGAATTAGACTGCGGTATTTCTTGCTTTTTTTTTTTTTTTTTATTTATTTTTAGGTGGCCACAATATCTTATTTTATTTGTATGTGGTGCTGAGTATCGAACCCAGCACCCGATGCATGCCAGGTGAGTGCGCTACCACTTGAGCCACATGCCCAGCCTTTCTTGTTCTTGAATGCTCCACCAGGCTGTTATACCCAGTCCCAGGAAGAGTACTCCAGAGCAAGACCTAAGGTGGGCGTAAGGTGCAGGAAGGAAGAGGCTCTGAGTATATGACAGAGCTGGGGTCTGCCTGTTTTAGGCTGACCTGAAGCTACCATCCTGCCTCAGCCCCCTGACTAGGGACTAGGATGTAGGCCCGCAGCTCCAGGCTGAAAAGGGGATTTGTGACCCCTAACGGAATTGGGGAACTAACTCTAGGGGCGCTCTACACGGAGCCACATCTCCATCCCTTTTTAACTTTGTTTTGGTACTGAGGATTGGACCTAGGGACGCTTTGCCGCTGAGCTACATCCCCAGCTATATTTTAAGACAACGTCTCAACGTTACTAAGGGCTGGCCTCGAATTAGCCGTCCTCCTGCCTCAGCCTCCCGAGTCACTGGAATACAGGCGTGCTCTATTGCGCCCTGCAAAAGGCATTCTGATATCCCCCAATTTGTTGCTTTACTGGACACCTGAAAAGCTTCCCTTCCCTGGTGGCCCTACAAATCCTTTGGCCTTGCTGGCTGCACAGCCTGTTCAGAAAAAAAAAAAATCCTTTATGAATATGATAAACTCGAGAGCTGAAGAGATGAATTCCAAGCGTCCCCATGTCATTATCAGCTCTGAGGATTTCGATACTTGAAGGAGCTAGTAAAATACTGTCCATTCCTCTAATAGACGTCCCCCAGATCAGTTTAGAATGCGAGGTGGTTTCTGCGCCTGTGCCCTTGGTGCGGCGGCTTGAGGGCCTCAGGTCGCTCCATTTGTGCGGCGGGGCTGCCCTCTGGCGGCTGTCGGAGACCATCGCGTCAACTCCTCGAAACGCCTTCGGTCGGCAGGAAAGAGTGGACCTAGGAAGGGAGGTGATCACTGGAAAGCCAAAATTTGGCAAGCATACGCGCCTCGCAGGAAACAGAGGGGCCGGGGGCGGTGGGTAAAAATAAAGCCCTTCTAAAGCGCACCGCCTGCAGCGCCTCTTGGTCCTCCGGGCCTACAGTCGTCTTACGACAGTGTGGCGCATCTGAGGCTTGCTTTCCGGCAGCGTGGTCTTAACGCCGCGCTCAATTTTCGGCAGCGTAGTGCAGGCTTCCCTCTGGGGCGAATGGGCCGCGCGAGAGGTCCCAAGGTTCGAGTCCCAGTTCGGGAATGAGCCTCTTTGACGTCTTCCGGGGCTTTTTCGGCTTTTCTGGACCTCGGAGGTGAGAGTAGGTCTGGCCTGGGTAAAGAGGGCGGGGGGCTTCTGGGAGGAGCTTCGCCCTGTTTTGGGAAATACTTCCCTTCTCCTCCAACTCCTGCGGAGAGGACAGAAGCCTCGGTGGGGCCCTCTCCGACAGTGACCAAGCCTGTCCTGAGGAGGAGGAAGAGCAGCCTTCACCTCTCCTGCCTGGGGTGATGCAACAAGAACCGGGCGGCGGGAGGGGCGGACAATGGGGCGGGCCGGGGAGGAGGGCCGTGGGCAGGGTCCGGCGGGAGGCACTGGGGGACGCCGAAGAGGAACCAGGGCTAGGCACTGGGGAGCAGCTGCGAGGTGAGGATCGACTTTGGTAGAAACGAAACAGAACAAAGGCAGAAAGCAGAAACACCTGTCAGCTATTTGGTGTTGACCGTCCCTGCTGTCCATGTTGACACCCTTGAGATGGGTTATGGCTTCAGTTGTGCTGAACTGTTGGTGGCTTGTTTGCCCCCACCCTCAGCCACAGAGATCCCTTTTTTGGAGGGATGACTCGAGACGAAGATGAGGACGATGAGGAAGAGGAAGAGGAAGGAGCCCCATGGGGCCGTGGGAACCGGAGGTTTGATGGTTCCCAGCCCCCAGAGGAATTTGGCTTCAGCTTCAGCTTCAGCCCAGAAGAAGGGATGCGTTTCCAGGATAACTTCGGCTTCGATGACCTAGTACGGGACTTCAATAGTATCTTCAGCGAGATGGGGGCCTGGACCTTGCCTTCCCGCCCGCCTGGTGGGTGGATTTCCCTGAGGGAGAACCCAGGGGTTTCTAGTGGATTGGTGGGTGAAATAAGCAGCCTATGCAGGGAGTAGTTAGGGGACGGAAAGTGTGAGAAGACATGATTTCCGAGAGATTTAAGGGACTAAGTCCTTTCCTACCCCAGTATCCACCTGCCACCTTTCTACAGAGCTTCCAGGGCCTCAGTTGGAAGCACCTGGTGAGAGACTGCAGGAGGGACAGACCCTTCGGGACTCAATGCTTAAGTACCCAGATAGTCACCAACCCAGGATCTTTGGTGGGGTCTTGGAGAGTGATGCAAGAACTGAGTCCCCCAAACCAGCACCAGACTGGGGGTCCCAGAGACCTTTTCATAGGGTGAGTACCCCATCCAAGCCTGAACTGAGAGTCTGAGAGACCAGTAATAAAGTGCAATGACTAGAATCCTTGTTGGCACCTCATAGACTTGGTTTGGAATTCTACGCCCTTCACTTAGTGTATTTGTCTGGTTTTGTTTTGTGGTGCTAGGGATCAACCCCATGGCCTGCCTTGCGCTAGGCAAATGCTCTAGTACTGAGTCCATCTCCCAGCCCTGTTTTCTATAATAAGTTTTTTGTAGGGTTTTTTTTTTTTTAAGTTGGAAGGGAGGTGATCACTGGAAAGCCAAACTTTGGCAAGCATACGCGCCTCGCAGGAAACAAAAAAATAAAAATAACTTTATTTTTTTTATGTGGTTCTGAGGATCAAACCCAGTGCCTCACATGTGCTAGGCAAACTCTCTACCACTGAGCTAGGACAGTCCCCAGCCCTTTGAAGGTTTTTTTTTTTTTTTTTTTTTAGTTGTTAATGTTAATTTTTAATGTTATTTATTTACATGCCATGCTGAGAATTGAACCCAGTACCTCACACATGCTAGGCAAGTGCTCTATCACTGAGCCCAGCCTGGAGTTCTGCTTTTTATTAAAAAAAAAAAAATCCAGTGATTCTTGGCTAAAGCAAGATTGTTGGAGGAATACAGGGAAATCTCATTTTAGGAAGACTTTTTGGTAGAAGGATAGGGAAAACAGCCAGCTAGGCGTAAGTAAATAAAGCTATGCTGAATGGAATTGTATCTCTTAAGGAAAGGGGGGTTGGGGAACTTTAATGGTTTGGAGTCTGTGATCCTTCAAGTGTCGAGGGTGACTTTTCACCTACTATGGCTTCTTCTACAGTTTGATGATATGTGGCCAGTGACTCCCCATCCTAGAGCCAGAGAAGACAATGGTGAGTGTGGAGGGGAGGGGACATTTATCATCCCTCTGTTATTCTGAAATTCTGTCCCCTCTCCCTCTCTGAAGTTTTTTCCTGTTGTACTTGTCCCCTTTTTTACTTGAACTGTCTCTTTTGGTTCTTTATCTCTTTGCTTTTTCAGATCTTGATTCCCAGGTTTCCCAGGAAGGTCTCGGCCCAGTTCTCCAGCCCCAGCCCAAATCCTATTTCAAGAGCATCTCTGTGACCAAGATCACTAAGCCAGACGGGGTGAGTTGGGAGAGAAGAGTAAAGGAAACTGGCCGGGAATACCCCAGAAAGAGGCCTTGAATAAAGAAACCACTGACCTCACCTTTAGTGATGTTAGCATATGGTGGTGGCTTCTGCTTGTAGATAGTGGAGGAGCGCAGGACTGTGGTGGACAGTGAGGGCCGGAGGGAGACCACAGTGACCCGTCAAGAACTGGAGAGCAGTCCTAGATGTGGTAAGTTAAGAGTATGAGTCAAAAGGGCCCATCTCAACTCCTTGGGGAAAGGAAACTCTTGCTCTTGTACCTTTTAATATTTATTTCTCTCCTTTGCCTCTGACCATTCTTGTCATTTAGTCAATCTGTTTATGACTTTCTTCCTTAGATCCAGAATCACCAAGACCTCCGGCCCTGGATGATGCTTTTTCCATTCTGGATTTATTCCTAGGACGTTGGTTTCGGTCCCGGTAGCCTTGTTAATCTTAGGGGCCTTCAGGTCCTTTCCACTTCTCACTCATTGCCCACCATCATTAAGCTTAGCTTCTTCTGCCACCTCAGGGGCTTGGGTATGTGGAACAGTGATTTGGGGGTGTGTCAGTCTTCCACTTACCTAGACTGACCAATAAAACTTTTATTTATGCTAAAGGTCTTGGTCTTTCTTTTGTTAACACTGTTCTACTTTCCAGAATCATGCAGCGCTCGATATTTTGGCTTAGTTTTCTCCTTATTTTTATTTTTTAAAAAATATTTTCAGCCAGCTACGGTGGGGCTTGCCTGTAATCCCAGTGGCTCAGGAGGCTGAGACAGGAGGATTGCGAGTTCAAAGGCAGCCTCAGCAATGGTGAGGCACTAAACAACTCAGTGAGACCCTGTCTCTAAATAAAAAAACAAAAATAGGGCTGGGGATGTGGCTCAGTGGTTGAGTGCTGCCCCTGAGTTCAAACCATGGTACCAAACACACACACACACACACACACACACGTGTGTGTGTGTGTGGGTTGGGGGGTAGATGGGCCCAATACCTTTATTTTGCTTATTTGTTTTTTTGGGGTGCTGAGGATGGAACCCAGTGCCTCACATGTGCTAGGCAAGCACTCTGCCACTGAGCCACAGCATAGCCCCCCTTCTTATTTTTAAAGTTTTTGTTCTACTTCCAAAACCTGATTTAATGTAGAGTCAGACACCATTGGAAACTGATTTCTTATTGAGCAGATAACTGCAGATAATGCCAATAACATTTCTAAGAAAGGATACATCAAGTTGGGCACAGTGGCATGTCTAATCCCAGCCATTTGGGAGGCTGAGGCAAGAGGATCACAATTTGAGGCCAGCTTAGGCAACTTAGTGAGAGCTGTCTCAAAACAAAATATAAAGGACTGGGGATTATGCTCAGGGGAAAGCACTTGCCTAGCACATGTGAGGTCTTGGGTTCGATACCCAGTACCATCACCACAAAAACAACAACAACAAAAATACATCAATACAGCAGATTTCCCCCCAAACGGTGTGTTTGGTATGAAGTAGGGGATGACTGTTTTTCCTAAGTGCAGGACCACTGACTGGATAATTCACAAGATAATATGAAGAAGTATATAGGTGAATATTTCTTTAGTGGCTATGTTTTTATTTTTATGTATGTTAGAAAAGTATAACTTATACAAACATTACTAGATCTTTTTCTCATTGAAAACTTTTTTTTTAGTACTATAGTTAGGAATGGCAGGTTTTACACATTTACTTCCCTCTGTTTTCTCTCTAAACCACACAAAAATGATGACAACGGGATTTTTATAAAAAGGCATAAGTATAAGTATCAAGGACAGGAATTGATAATAATGAAATTTCTTTTTTTTTTCTTTTTTTTTTTTAGTTGGACACCTTTATTTTATGTATTTGTTTTTATGTGGTGCTGAGGATGGAACCCAGGGCCTCACTAGGTAAGCGCTCTACCACTGACCCACAACCCCAGCCCTGAAATTTGTCTTTTATTAAAATATCTTTTGGTTGACAGAAGCTGTTGATTTGTTATAGCCAAATTTATGTTTTCCTTTTATGATTAGCATTTTTTAAAAATATTTATTTCTTAGTTGTAGTTGGACACAATATCTTTATTTTATTATATGTGGTGCTAAGGATCAAACCCAGGGCCTCGCACATGCTAGGCGAGCACTTTACTGCTGAGCCACAACCCCAGCCCTGATTAGCATTCTTTATAACTTTCAGAAATCTCTCCTAACCCAAAGTTAAAAGGATATTTTCCTATTTATCTGGTAAAAGTTTTATTATAGTTTTTTTCTTTTCAGGTTTTGAAATCTACCTGGAATTTATCTTGGTGTATGGTCTGAATTGGGAGAAAAACTTTATTTTTTCCCATTTGGAAATAGTATAATAATGGTTAGATAAGTATTTATAAATATACACACCTGTGGGCTGCGGCTCTCACTCAGAGGCAGAGCACTTGCCTAGCATATGTGAGGCACTGGGTTCAATCCTCAGCACCACATAAAAGAATAAGACTTGCTGCCCATCTATAATATAAAAAAAATGTTTTTAAAGTATACTAGGTCTTTCTATTCTGTGCTAGGTCTTTGTATTCTCTTATACTCATCTACTTTAAATAAATTCACTTAACTGCTGAAGTTTATAAGAATACATTGGTTTTTCCAGTCATTTCTTTAGAATTTCACCATAAATACAAATGACACCAAAGATCACCATAAATGAAGAAAGCCTCTAACATGAGTAATGGAGACTCATACAAAAGAAGCAACTTGGAAGAAACAGACTAGGCAGAGGAAAACTTAACCAGTATCATCTTTAGAAATATGAAATAATATATTGTGTCCTTAAAACTTCCTAGGGTGGTGGTATATAACTGAAATTCCAGCTACTGGCGAGGCCAAAGCAGAAGGATTCCAAGTTTGAGGCTAGCCTGGAAAACTTTGTGAGACTGTCTCAAAATTAAATGAGCTGGGAGTATAGCTCAGTGATATAAGGGTTTACCTAGCATGTTCAAGACCCTGGGTTTAATCCTCAATGCTGGGGGGTGGAGGGGAAGTAATAAAAAATTACAAAAGGATGCTAGAAAAGAAAAGAGCAAAAGAGCCTCAGAGACTTAAAAATATGGTAGCAGAAATGGAAAAATAAGTTATTTTGAAGACAAAGTTGAGGAAATATCCAAAAAAGTAGGTGAAATTAAAAAAATATGTAAATTATCAATGAAATAAGAAAATATCCCAAGATAGAAGGATACTTTAAAAAAACAAACAAAAAAACCTTTATTTTATTTATTTATTTTTATGTGGTGCTGAGGATGGAACCCAGTGCCTCCCATGGGCTAGGCAAGCTCCCTCCAATGAGCCACAACCCAGCCCCCGGATATTACTTTATAATCTGAAAGGACCCACTATATGCTAGACATGAAGGATAAAGATAAACCTACTCCAAGGCACATCATGTGAGATTTTAGAACACTATAGAGACAAGGAGAAATTTTAAATTGGGGGGGGGGAGGGGGAGAGCTCACAAAGGATTAGGAATCAGAACATAAATTTTAATAGCAAAATGAATTAAGAGACGGACTGGGGTTGTGGCTCAGTAGTAGAGCACTTGTCTCACCATGTGAGGCACTGGGTTTGATCCTCAGCACCACATAAAAATAAATAAAAGGCATAAAAATATTTAAAAAAAATACAGTGGAGCTAGGTTCTTGGGAGGCTGAGGCAGGGAGATCACTGCATTTAGGAGTTCCAGACTGTTTGAGAGAAAATAAGCAAAAAATACGACTGGAAGGCTGGGAATGTGGCTCAGTGGTAGAGCGCTTGCCTACCACGCATGAGGCACTGGGTTCAATCCCAGTACCACATCAAAAATAAATAAATAAACAAAGGTATTGTGTCCATTTACAACGTGTGTGCGTGTGAGAGAGAGAGAGAGGAGAGTGGAGAGCCACCAATTCCCACTACTGGGTATAAATCCAGAAGAAATGAAATCAGTATGTTGAAGAGATGAATCAACAGAAGTGTCCAACAAATAAGTAAAATATCTTTAAAAATAAAAATTAAGAGCCACCCACAGTGCCATGTGCCTGTAGCCCATGGGAGACCGTGAGGCTGGAGGATGGCTTGGCTTCAGCAGTTCAAGGCCAGCCTGGACCACAGAGGGAAACCACATCTCAAAAAAAATACATAAAAAAATTTAAAAAGCAAAGAAAAAAAGGGAGCAGAAAACTTACAAATACTGAAGGAAAATTACTTCAATCTAGAATTGTATACTATAACTATCAAATGTGGGAGGGCATTAGACACTTCTATACATGAAAGGTCTCCAATATTTGGGTCTCATGTACCTATGAGGAAACTTCTGGAGGAAGGAAGGGGTGGTTGTAATCAGGGATCTCCCTCTTCATCAGAAATTGGCTCAAAAGAGGGAAGAACTCCATAATGATGAAAGGAGGTTCCATGATATGGCTGTGCTTTCGATAAAGCAAACGGTCTAGGCTGCAGTGTGTCAGAAGAGTCCAGATGTCTTCAAAAAGATGAAACTAGCTGGGCACAGTGGCACATACCCATAATCACAGCTACTTGGGAAGCTGAGGCAGGATGATCATTAAGTTTGAGGTCAACCTATCTCCAAATAAAAACGCTAGGGAAATAGCCTCATGTGGCTTATAGAATTATTTGATCCTCAAAATAAAAAGGCTTGGGGCTGGGGTTGTGGCTCAGAGGTAGAGCACTTGCCTAGCATGTGTGAGACACTGGGTTCCATCCTCAGCACCACATAAACAAAGATATTGTGTCCACCCAAAACTAAAAAATAAATATTAAAAAAATAAAAAGGCTCGGTGGTAAAGCACCCACCAGGTTCAATCCCCAGTACAGGGGGAAAAAATTGATTAAAACAAAAATTTTTTTTTTAGTTGTAGATAGACACAATCTCTTTATTTTTTATTTATTTATTTTTATATGGTGCTGAGGATTGAACCCAGTGCCTCACGCATGCAAGGCAAGCAGTTTACCACTGAGATACAACCCCAGCCCGATATATTTTAATTATTGAAAAATTTTAACAATTGTGGGGCAAAAGAGCTCGGGGTTTGAATAAAGGGCAAGTGCTTAGAAAACTAAGTTAACAATAAGACAACAATTGCTCTATTAATTGTATCAGGAATACAAAATGAGGAGTTTAGTTAAATTATACCATATGGCCCACTTTTTTGGTTATGGTAGTACTGGGATGGAATCCAGGTATACCCTACTACTGAATTATAAATCCAGCCCATTTTATTTTTTCTTTCAAGGCAGGGTCTTACTGAGTTGCTGAGGCTGACCTCATACTTGGGATCCTGCTTCAGCTTCCTGAGTAGCCAGGATAACATGGGTGTGCCACTGCACCCCACTGGCCTAGCTTTAAGTAGCATATATACTATGATAACAAATAATATTGCTACAATATAAGGTATAATAGGTCTTTGTTGGGAAGGCAGAGGAATTGAAGTATGCATATTTTTGTGGGGAAAGTACAGAATATCTAAATAGTGTAAAGTTGATAAGTAGTATCTAAAACAAAAATAACATGTAACACTATGAGCATATTATTTGGAGATACAGTGGTAAGTATTAAAGGAAACTTTTAAAAAGTTTGAA